CCCTTTCAATCCTCTGCCGGGGGCTCTCTTGCAGGAGAAGGATCTCATCCATAAACTTTTCAAAGTGCTGGTTCCCCGCTTCCAGCGTTACTCCGGAAACTACACCCGCATGTTCCAGATTCCTAACAGTGATGACCTGAACCGGGTTAAGATGGCCGTCATCGAATACAAGGACAACCCGCTCCCGCCTCTTCCGGTGCCCGGCAGGGACAGCGAGAAGACTTTGGTCAACCAGCTCCTGAAAGGATACCGGATGGAGGTGCGCAGGGACAGAAAAGCCAAGGGTGCTGAGCAGCAGGCGGGCACACCTGTGTAGAGAGAGAGAGGTGTGTTCCTTCTGGGGGGGGGAGAGGAAGGGAAAAAGTGGACCCTCTGCCCAGGCGGGGCCTCGCTTGCTTGCTCGCTCGCTCGCTGCCCAAGGGGCTCAGGTGGCTTCTCCGTCGGAACCCCTAGGGTTGCCTCTCTTGTCCCTGGTTTTGGTTTGGCTGTTTAAAACCACATACAGTTTTTGTCAGCTGTGGTAAACAAAGTGGGGGCTCTTTCTTGCTGCTGTGATGAGAACTTAAAGGAAGCAAAGCAGGGTTCCTGTTGTTCTTGTGGAAATAAATATGAGTACTGTGTACATGCATTATTATTTGTTCTTTAATTTGGAATAGAATGGCACATGGCAGCTGAGGGAGAAGGCAAGGTTATATGTGTCAGGAGCACTGGTGGCAAGAATCTTTTTTTTAAATACTGTATAAGTATTTTTATTGTATTTTTCTACTTTTCTACATGTTGCAACCAGAGTGACTTATCACAATATATTCCATTCATTTTATCTTGTCTTATACTCTCTGACACATAAGTCGAGGAACAGGGACAAATTACCCCAAATGGGGTAAAAGTGAAAATCCTGGGGGTAATGAGCACAGGCATTTCACAAACACACGCCACTGTATTCAGTAAGACATACTCCCAGGAAAAGGAATGGATGAAAAATTTGTTCATTTTACATTTCAGTGCAACTTTACTAAAATTCATTCTTACTGAAACTCAGTAATACAGTGGTGCCTCGCATAGCGATGTTAATTGGTTCCAAAAAAAACATCGCTATGCGAGGCACCACTGTATTTGAAAATGATTGTTTGAAATTTTTGAATAAAATATAAAATTAAATTTAAAAGTATGTCAGGTTTACATCAATGTGAAAATGAAATGGCTATAAAAGCCATTTTCACTTGGGTACGTTAAAAAAATTGATTTTGGTGAATCTAATGTCCAGACTTGGGCAAGCTCCGTTAAATATTTTAACTAGTTTACCAGTGCCTGAAATACATTTTAGCATAAGACAGATAGACCAATGAATCTTTCTTTCTTTCTTTCTTTCTTTCTTTCTTTATTTATTTAAAATATTTTACCTTGCCTTTCTCCTTAAAAGGACCCAAGGCAGCTTACAACAATTAAAAGACAATATTTAAGAAGAATCCAAGAAGTATATTAAAAACAGTGAATAAAATATTACTAATACATAGGATTAAAAAACTGTGGGACTGGAGACATTAGAAGGAGTCATTTAGTCCAGCCCAACGATATGATAAATCTATGGCTAAAGAGGCACTTTTGTAAAAGAATAAATGAACCTTAGAATCCGATATCTGGAATCAAACAAATAGATTACAAAAGAAATAGCAGGGTTGAGGGATGACTTTTTGGTTTCATAAGAAAAGGCTCAAAGAGAAAGCTGAAGCTCTATGTAGTCAGGATGATGTTGTATGTAACAGGTTACTGTGACAAAAGACTTCTTCCTTTTGCAATATTGGAGGGTGCAAGGCTAATGGGCTGCTTGGGTTCCAGAAGATCCCCTGTATGGAGAATTAGTGCAGGGAAAGCACCCCGGAGGAAGACCCCAGCTTCGATACAAGGAGATCTGCAAGCGGGATCTGAAGGCCTTAGGAATAGACCTCAACGGATGGGAAACCTGGACCTCTGAGTGTTCAGCCTGGAGGCAGGTGGTGCATCATGGCCTCTCCCAATTTGAAGAGACCCTTGTCCAGCAGGCCGAGGCAAAGAGGCAGTCCCGGAAGTAGCAAAACCAGGGAGCTGGACAGGGAACAAATTGTATTTGTCTTCAGTGTGGAAGGAATTATCATTCTCGAATTAGCCTTCTCAGCCACACTAGATGCTGTTCCTCTATTCAGAGCACGTTACCATAGTCTTTTGAGACTGAAAGATGCCTCATCAAGGCTAATGCAATACAAAAAAACTGCATGTACCCTGAAGTTGCAACAGGAAGTGGCAGTCTCCTACTGACATCTTTCCCATTGTGCAGACAGATCCCACCAAATAGGATTTTGGACATTATCTCACATACTGGAGGACACTTGGAATAATGCCCATAAGACTAAGGAGCAAATTGTGTTTCATTTTGGCTTTGAGCTGCAGAGCAACCATCACACACAATCCTTATATCAGAGGTGATCCTCCTGTCTAACCTCTTAACGCTTCTTTGCCTTAAACAGAGACCTGCCTATGAACACATGCAGTCATCATTCCATCCCCATTAAGAAACCCTCTCTAAGGTTCCAGTGCGGCCTCCAGTGCCTCCCCTCAACGTTGTGGCCAGTTATATTCTTCTATTTCAAAGGGAAGTAGGAGTCATGTTTCAAGAATTCTTCAGAATGACAAGATCAGTGAACGTAGAAAGTGTTTTGCACACACTTGCTCAGTGGCACCAAGCAAGGCAGACACTGTTGTTCCTTCACTCGGTTCCCTGCTAGCCTTAGCGGGTGATGTGAGTTTATTCCCTGGAGGAGCCATTCTGACCGGTTGCTACAATCACAGGGTCATCTCATAGTTGACAGCTCCTGGTGCTGAGCAGTCTTGAGCATGTAATGGGCTAGTTGATAACATTGTATGGATTAGTCAGTCTTCCAAAGGATAAACGTTGGCCTTTGCTGCAGGAGTTTCGGCATCAGAACTTGGGGGTTTCCACATAGGCTGAACAGCCATTCATGTGCACAGAACTTGTAGCCACTTGCTGTGCAACCCTGCTGGACCCATGGAGGCTGGTCTGGGCAAGCTGTCATTTCAGTGGACTGAAGAGGAATTGATTTGCAGCTCCCTGTAAAGGAAAAATCCAAAACAGTTTGAATCCTTGCTCTTCAACAGGATACAGTGCTCTGGAGCTACATGCCCAGGGCCACGTCCATGCTGCTCCGCCACTAGGTTGGCAAACGTGTTCTCCCGAGATGCTTAGTGTGCCCAGGCTCAGAGCCCTCCGTGGTCCTTCACCAATCTCAGGAGTGCCTTTATCAGCCACTCACGTTCTCAGCCTAACTGCCCTTGACAAAAGGGTGGGATATAATTTCATTGAATAGATATGGAGGGAATGGTGGTACCTACCTGACAGCAGTAACGAGGTTTTGGTGCCATTTGTTAAACTCATCCTGATCACAGGACATCAGTAGCAGTGTCTTATGAGGGAAGGATAGCTGAAAAAAAAGAGAGCATTGTGAAAAAGTGGGACCTACATGGTAGTTCTGAGCACAGAAGCGGGACTGTCACGTCAAAATTCTTCCCCAAATGGTCACTGGAACTGTGTGTGGGGTGAAGAGGGAAAAGGGTTCCTATGAGAAGTTGAAGACCTCCTTCCATCTCTGCACCAGGGATCATTCTTGAGCTGTGGTTAGCTCAGGCGGGGGGGGGGTGTCTTCCTGACCCATTGACTAGCCTTGCTCACCGCATGAAGAGTTAATTAACATTCCTCCCCCTCATCTCCCCATTACCCACCCGCCATCCTGCCTCCATAAAGAGTAGGCAATAGGTCCTGTATTGGACGGGGGGGGGGGGCAAGGCAAGACTTACACTGAGCAACCCTCCTTGGTCATGAGTATGACCAAAGACCTTTTCTACAGTGCACTGGCTGAGAGGGTAGACCGCCTGGCAGGCAAACTTGGAAGAATTCCAGGGATGGAGTGGGTGGCAAGGCCTGGTCATTAGCAAGATGTCCGAGAAGAGGAAGAACATTCTGGATTGCACCTCCTCCCCCTTTGGGGGCACCACGATCAGCCAGCCTTCCTGGAGATACCAGCGTCCTATGGGAAGCACACAAGCATTGAATGGGTGGTTTGGAGGACCTGGATGCTGATCAGTCCCCTGCCCTGATTCTCCAGGGGATATCGTTCCACTGCAGCTGTGAGGGAATAGCCCTGGGGAATCTAGTAATGTGCAGGTCCCTGGCATCTGCAGAACCCTGGCAACCTGCATGGGCATGGCATAAACCCGGGAGGCACAGCACTTGGGCCGTGCCTGCAAAGGGTCAACTGTTTCCCTTGGTCAGTGGGGTGAACACAGTGTCCTTCCTAACTTTGCCAGTCACCAGAGAAATTACACAGAAGTTTCCAGGGGCAATTTTTGGATTTCTCAGACCTTAGAGTACCATATATCCCATCCCTCCAAAACAATTAGCCCTGTATCTGATTCCCCCAAAATGCAAATCACAATTTGCTGTGTAAACTGAATTCCACCCCCAGGCACTCTTTTTTTTTTTTAGAAACAAAAAAGTGCATTGTGGTGACAAAAATATTTCTGTGCTGTTTTGGGAGGTGGAGGCATAAGGGCTGCAAGAAAGGGGCGGCACATACAACAGCGCAGAGACAATATTTATTCCAGTCCTAGTTTAATTGTATTCACCCCTCTTTTCTGAGTGAAAGAAGGACTCAAACCATCAAATCATAAAAATTCAAACACAATAAACTGCAAGCACACTGTCACAAAATGACAACATTTTATACTAGACGAATTTCCCAATGAGTTTTAATGGCAATCCCTCAAAGCATGTGTCAGAGTAGGCCAACCTGAAAACTGTCTTCATGTGAATGACCACAGAGAGGGTGGGCCTTGTGGGGGATCTGCATCGGGTGTTCAAGCTATTGCTGGGCAAAATGTCTCCTGTGTACCTCAGCCTCAAGCAGTGGTGCCAAAATCAAGAAGCATCCTGACACACTTTTCAGAGAGTGGAGCTGCATCCGCCACAGAAGTGTGCTTGGCCACCCAACAGTCCTCTACTTTTCACCGCTCTGAGGCTTCAAGGTTACCAGGGGCCCACTCGGCCAGCATGTCTCTTGTGGCCCTTCAGGCACGCTGGCCATGCTCCGGGAAGGGCGGGAAGTCACGGACTCACCAGGCACCAGCAAGTGTGTCTTCTGCCCTTTGAGCAGTTTCTGAACCCGATGCATGTGGCCCAAGTTGTCTTGGAAGCGCGAGATTTCCCCGATTCGGTGAAATGCCTCTGAGAAAGACCTTAGAACTCCTGCAAATGGCACATTGTCACACAGGAAGATGGCAATCAATTACCCCACCACCGGTGGCAGGGACAGAGGAGAGGGTGCAGGTGACCATCAAGATGGGGCATGCTGGGAGGTGGAGGAAGGGAGGGAAATCCAGAGCCTCTGCCTGCAGGCAGGGGGCTAAGTGCCACAAAACAGCAGCCAGGCTGTCTTGCTGAGTCTCCTCCCGTGCTACCTCTCCCCTCTCCCCTCTCCGAGGGAGACCGAGACAAAGTTAACGTTCTACCTCTCAGCTGCTCTGAGTCAGAGCTCTCCGGGTAAGTGTTCTCCACCAGATCCTGCAGCAAGTGCTTGTACCTGCGCAACAGGAGGAAGAGGTTAGAGGGATTGCAAGCCAGAGTCAGGAGGCAAGGAGAACAGCCCCCACGCTGCCAAGCGGACGAGCTAGGCCCCTCCCCTCAGCCACCCTTCCACAGCCAGATTGCCACACATTCTACAAGGCACTGGCTGGCCAAAGAACAGGCTGAAGAGCAGGTCCCATCTTGGGCTGTGTCTTCTGGGGAATCTGCCACTCACTGATGGATCCTTTGCAGAGGCAGAGGCAGCAGGTCCTCCAGAGAATAGCCCCTGAAGTCTGGCCGGGACTCTTGGAGCTTCTTGAAGCGGGAAAATGATCTGTTCTTCTTCACCTGTCTCTGCAAGGGAGAGAGAGAGGCGAGGAGGTCAGTGGCCAGGAGGGGCAGGACATTCCCCAGGCCAGGGCAAGGAGGGCCCGGGCAGCACCAGAGGCCACCAGAGCTGCAAGGAGACTCTAGCTGCTGGGCGGGCGAGGCTGGCCTCTGCAGGAGTGCCCCTGGGCGGTGTCCAGACTGCCAGCCGCGCCCAAAAGGGGAGGGTCGCGCCCAAAAGGGAAAAGGCTACCTCTAACATCTTCTTGGCCTCTTCCCAGTTTTCAGCGTAGCAGACATAGAAAACCAGCTGGTGGCAGAAGCCTTCCAAGCCAAGCCCCAAGCGGCCCCTCTCCAGGTGGAAAAGCAGCGTCCTGGGCACAAAGAAAAGGGCTTCTTGAGCCAAGCAGGTCAGGACTAATGTCCCATCAACCCCACTCCTCCCCAAACTAGTGGGGGTGGGCAGGCAGCAGCAGCTGGAGAGTGTATTCTGGTAAAGAAGAATTTGCAGGAATTGATGTGTTTTAATAAACCTCAAGTAGACATCTTTGCATTATTTCTTCAGGAGCAGAAAGAGCACAGGATCAGATAGCACTGATCTCTCCAGCAAGGTTCGGGGTCCTACACTGGCCACCTGGTTGCCTTTGAGCGCCCCATGAACAGAAAAGGCGGGCAGAGCCTCATTCTTGCTTGGGTTTCCCAACGGCCGCTGCTGAGAGGCGAGCTGCCTTTGACCCCAGAGAGGACGCAGTGGCGCCAGGAAGGGCTGGAGCAAAGGATGCTTAGAATCCGAACTTTTAGGGAAAGCTGTGGCCCAAAGCCAGCTGGTGCGCTCACCACTTTTCACCAGTTTCTCTCAACAGAAAGGAGAATAATACTGCGGAACTGACCAAATAATGGCAGACAATCACATAATCTCTAACTTCTTAAATAATTCAGTTGAATATGCTACACCTTGAGTTTATCAAGCTATTCTGACCATGTGGTATTGTGGCTATTGTTGACTCTGAATATTTGACTGAATGCCACAATCAAGGTAAGGCCTTGAGCTAGAGAAGAACCTCACATCAGGGGCCTCCTCAGCCCCAAGGCGAAGTGTAGGAAAGAGGACAGAGGAGGACCCAAGACCTTTTGTTAGCCAGCCAGCCAGCCCTGATCCACACACACCCCAGGCAATCCTGACATCAAATGAATACCCCAGGAGCAGTGTCAGACAGACAGTGGGTGGAGGTGGGGGGGAGGGACAGAAAGGGTGCAAGGGGGGGGAGGGAAGGAAAAAAAACCTAGAAAGGAGGCTGGTGACTGGACAAAGGAGGAGGATAAAAAGGACTGCATGAAGAAACCTGAGGGGAAGGAAGGTGGGGAGCAGGAGAGGGAGGAGGAGCAAGAGTGGGGACATGCACTCGAGGAACAAGGAAGGGGTTGAGGCTTATAATTTGGAGGCTGAAGTAGATGTGGACCCGGAACTCTGAGAAGGCTGGGATTCTGTGTACAAAGCAGAGAGGCGTTATAGCTCAGCTTTGTGTTCCCAAGGAAGAGAGTGAAAGGCGCAGAGTCTTCAAACCTCCTCCTGAGCCTTCGTACTGGGGGAAACATGAGCAAAGGGAGTGTCATTGGAGAATCCAGGATTATTGGTGCGAGGGAGCCATCTGACACAATTTGGCCGAGACCCATGAAGACAAAGGCGCCAGGGGAATTCTCACAATGGCCAGGGGAGAACCCAGAAGCTCAGGTTCATAGCCGGGCTGGTGTGGGAAACCACCCTTGCCGCCCCTCTCTCTGCCGACCGTAACTACCCTGATCTGCTCCAACCTTCCCACAATAAGGAATCAGCCTCAGGAAAGAAGTCGCTGGGTTATAGAGGAGGAAAAAGAGAAGGTTTAAGGGCCTTTGACCGTCTTTGTGTTGCTGGTTCACCACCTGTTAGTTGTTATTTTACTCCAAATTTAATACAACCTACGTAGTTCTCTCCTGAAGCTGAGGCTCCAGTCCTTTGGCCATCTCAAGAGAAGATTAGACTCCCTGGAAAAGACCCTGATGTTGGGAAAGTGTGAGGACAAGAGGAGAAGGGGACGACAGAGGACGAGATGGCTGGACAGGGTCACCGAAGCGACCAACGTGAGTTTGACCCACCTCTGGGAGGCAGTGGAAGACAGGAGGGCCTGGCGTGCTCTGGTCTACGGGGTCATGAAGAGTCAGACACGACAAAACAACAACAGCAAAGTTCTTTGTGTATATTTTCTGGTTCATTTATGGAACAAAGGATGGAAGAAGGCAACCCCTTCAATCCCTGAGGGAATGGTGGGTTGGGGGGCACACACTATGATACCCACCAGCCCCAGATGAGCCCCTTACCGGCTGGTAGAGCACAGACACTCCCATGGCCCAAAGATAGCCTCCAAGGCAGCTGGCTTCAGGGTGCCCTTCGCTTTCAGAATGGCCACGAAGTACTAAAAAGAAGACACAGAACACTTACTTGCCAATGCAGTCTGACCTTGCTCTCCGGGACGGTTGGCCAGGCTCTCCCCCATGAGAGCAATGCGGACGGGCTGGACCTCCTCTTGTTCCTCTACCCTCCCTCCCATCACTACAAAGGAGGCCTCCATTCCCACCCACCCCTTCAAGAAACAAGAGTTCTGCCTGCAGCTGCAAGGGAATCAGCTCAGTCTGACTGTATCCCAGCTTCCAGGCTCTACGTTCTACCGTGTTCTCTCTACAGCCTCCTCACCTGCCCCCCCATCTATCCAAGTCCCCCCTCTCTAAACTCAAACATGCTGTTTTCCAGTTTACTGGGAATGGAAGGGAGATGCTCAGACACCACACTCAGCAGGGCCCGTCTCTAGTTCCCCTTCCTCTGCCTGTTCCTAATATGGTCCATTCAGGGAGGGGGGGTCTGCCTCCCTCCCTACAGGCCCACTTTTACAGCTGCAGGGGGAACAGATTGAAGAGTGGCAGAAACGTTTTGTAGAGCCCCCTTTAAGCTGATTTGCTGCTCACTTTCTCTACTTTCTAACTTACTGTACTTACTGGTTAGGGCTGGATATGCTTTCAAGCTCTCTTAAATAGATTTCTTCCTTAGAAAAGCAGCTAGAGGCCTTATTAAAATTCAAACAGACAATTACTCACAGCCATGGCTGGCATGAGGTTCAGCAGCAATGCAAAAGATGCTGCCTAAAAGTTAGCCAAGCTGTCCCAATGCAATATGGCACAACATCCGAGAGCCATAAAGGCTGTCCCCACTGCTCCACCCGAACCCCTGCAGGTCCCTCCCTGCAAAACCGCTGCCTCCAAGCACCGTGGCCACCAAGTCCAGCTGCTCCAGGTATTTCTGCTCTGTCTCTACCAGCTCTTTCACAGTTCGGCTGCGTTTTCTCTCCCAGCGGCTCCTCTGCTGCTCCACAGGATTGCAGCTGCTCTGAGGAAGAACAAGTGCGGTGCTCATTCTGGATATCAGGAAGGGAACCTTGCAAAAGAAAATGGACACCTTAAAGACAAGCCTGCCTTGTGTCAGGGTGGGGCCAAGAGGCCCCTTCCAGAGCTTGCATACACTTATTTGGAGTTTGCAGGAAGGAAGCGTGAGAAATGCACAAGCATTTGTTCAAAATGCAGCAGCAATTATGAAGAGAACGAGGACACAAGTACTGGTTAACAGGAAGTTCAGAGAATGGTGCTTAACATCTTCCTTATCGTGCCTCCCAGGAACCAGCTTCATGCTTGATCAACTTCCTTCCTTCTGTTCAGGCAAGCTTTTTTTAGTATGGTATTTGCTTGATCCTTTAAAACTATTTCTACAAATACTCTTTTTAAGCTTTAAATACTGTCTTTAAATTATGTAGATTGCCTTAGGTCAAGGAGAAAAATGGGATAAAATATTTTAAACGAATAAAAATAGTCTCTCTGGCCTGCTGCTGCTGCTGCCCCCACCTGCAAGAATACCTTTTGCAGGTCTCTCTCTCTCTCTCTCTGTATATACAGACAGACAAGACCGACAGAGAGGCATACACACACAGCCTCTCATCCCGGGAGCATCTGCCCGCTCCCCTTGTGGCGCCCCCTCCTCATTCTGGGGCCAGGATCCCAACCCCAGCAATGCCGGAGGTGTAGCTCTGACTCCGAGCCAAATCCTCCTCCGAGGGGAGTGTGTGGGGAGGAGGGCGGGCTGGCGCCCCCACAAAAAAGCCCCCCACCTTTTCTCTGGGAGAAAAGGAGCGGCGGGAAAGGAGGAAGGGGCGCGAGGGGGGTCTGGGGCGACCCCTTCTCTCCTCCCCCATGGCCCGGAGTGACCCGCGCAGCAGAGGGAGGGCGGCGAGGGGGAGAAGGACCCCCCCTCCTGTCCCCCAAGCCCCGCCTCCTCCTCAGGACCCAGAGGGAGGGAGGGAGGGGCGACCCCTCTGGCCGGCCGGCCGTGCTCTCTCCCCCCCCCCCCCCCGCGGCAAGGGGCCCC